GCCTACTCTTTGACTAGGAAGCACGAAAACATCAATCTAGGGCAAGTTTCCATCCCGGAAACGTTTCGGAAACGGGAAACGTCGGGAAACGCCGAGAAACGTTTCTGAGCGCTTGGGCTTTTGGGTCGGGTCGGGGAAACGTTTTAGAAACATGAATTGATATGGGCTTAGGCGTTTAATGTATAATATATCTTTTTAAAAACATGGTCGGGCAAATTGGAAATCATTCGCACTCCCTTTTGTTGAAATACATGCGACGCTGCGAGACTGCTACTTGTGAAAGCGACACAGGTTGAATCAATACGCGACGAGAAGAAGAAAGCTGGTTGAGTGTTCTGTGCCTTTTCTACTGGGCGACTGAAGTTTGACAGCACAGTGCGATCTGCTGGTTTGCTGGACGGTGGGCGAGCCACATATTAATTGTTTCCACTTTCCAGCAAGTGTTTCCTAAGTTCTTATTGGAGAGTGTGTAAGCTTTTACTTTTTTCATTTTGTTTATTATGCGTGTAGAATGCATTATAATAAGGAGATACATAGTATGTTTTGTTTAATTATTTCATATTTGTTGGACGTAAAAATTATCTATATTACTAAAATTTTAATTTTTAGTTCGATGTTTGCTTTTCATACCCGTATCTTGATATTTTGAGTTTAGAGTTTCCCCGTCCCCGTTTCCGTCCTAGTGTTATTTAGCTCTTTGAAACTTCAATTAACAATAAACCCATTTACTACTAATGATAGAGTTTTTTAGTAAAGAGTAAATTCCCTAAATAGGAGTAAAAAAGTTTTGAAATTCCAAAATAGGAGTATATGTTTTTTATTCCCTAAATATGACTAAATTTCTGCTAAGTTTGGCATTACAAGGCTTTTAAACATGACATTTTTTTTCAAACTTAGCAGATTACTCCTATTCAATGAATAAAAAACATGATACTCCTATTATGGAATTTCAAAACGTTTTTACTCCTATTTAGGACAATTTCTAATCTTTTAACTATGTATGAACAAATTTAAAAAAAAAATAGATAGACTTCCACGTTTCCTCGGTCATACTTTTGTTGACTCGATAGTATTTTTGTCAATAGATTATATAACTAACTAAATAAGAAAATGATCAATCCTAAAATTCACATTTTCTTGAAGATTCCCAAATTTTAGCTCAAGTCCTGTTTTAAGAGTGTTACAGTTAATAATTGATATGTATAGTCGTATGATCCCATATACTTCCTCCGTCCCGATTTAGTCTTTTTTGGACGGCCCAATTAATGTTTTCTATTTCTACTTCAAAAAATAAATAGCACTTGTTGGTGCAAGAATTTGACAGCTTATTCAACATTCAAGAGGCCTGACCATGACAATTAATGACACATTCATTAGGTTTAATGCTACCCGATTATAACGGTTTTTGTGTGTATTATTATAGCCATTATTGTAATTAAACCAAGAGTTACTCAAATAGCTGACTGATATTAATGACGACATCATGACGACTTTGAATGTCATCATAACGGTTGAAATCGTCAACAACGGACAAAAAGACATTAATTATCCTTCCTATAAGTAGTACGAGCTCAGTTGTAAGAGGGGACACCTCATTCAAATTACACATCAATTTACATTCTATTTTGATCACTCAACATCCTTCTTGTTGTTCTTGTCATATTTCTTAGCGTTCTTGTATGAAACCTTATCAATATACAATTTCTATTCTAATTAGTTTTAGTTTATCAAAATTTTGCTAAAACAATTTGGCGCCATGGAAAGAACAAGCAACGAGATGATGGTCGAGTTTCATAAGCAATTAGAGGCGATGAAAGAAGAAATCCGGCGTGAAGTGGCGGAACGGATGGATCAGCTCCAGCGAGAAAACGATGTACTACGATCCCAAGTGCAATCGGTAGTGTCTGTAGCCTCTAATTCAAGAACAATCAAAGGAGTGACGCTGCTATGACCGCTGCTACTAGGCTGGACCTAAGCTTCACCCCGGCTCCAACGGAACCATTCATTCCTCGCTCGGGGGCCGGCACGTGCAGAGAACCAGGGCCCTCAACTCGGTCCATCCACCTCCCAAATCCTAGACGTAACGTGTTCCACAACCTGTTTGCAGAACCTCAGAGACGACGGGTTCCGGACCATGTCGACATCAACAGCCAAAGGCAGCAAGAGCTTGGAGTATAGTCATACCATCACCAACCAGGCAAGAGGTGACCCGAACAACGACACCACCAATCCTGACAATGAGACAGATGAAGACAGATCCATTAGATCCCATGACCGTCATCATGGAGGAGTTAAGAGAAATGCGAGAAAAGATTTGGCATCCCTGGAGTACCACCGCCATTGGACATTGCTTCACAGACGTGTTACTCGGACTCTCCCTTTGGAGTTTGGACGACATATCACCGACGTCGAGATCCCAAGAAAGTTCATCGCTCCTTCAATGAAGTTATTCGATGGAACTTCTGATCCCTTGGAACATATCGCCCAACACAAGAAACTGATGCTAGCCATCTCGGTCAGGCCAGAACAACGGGAGGCTTGCATGTGTAGGGCATTTGGGACAACATTGACAGGACCGACGTTGACATGGTTCGTCAACTTGCCCAACGAGAGAATCAGCTCGTTCGCAGAACTCGTCAACCTGTTCAACCAACAGCTCACAAGTAGTCGGGTCCTTGAAAAACAGGCCAGTGACCTTTACCGAGTAATCCAACGACGGAGTGAATCTTTGAGAGATTATTTACACCGATTTAATAAGGAAAAGGTGTCGATCCTAAAATGTGACATCTCTACCACCATTGAAGCATTCAGAAGAGGTTTGTATGAAGATTCAGAGTTGTACCACGAGCTGACGAAATACCTTTGCCGGTCCTTCGAAGATGTCCAAGCAAAGACGTGGGCTTTCATCCGTCTAGAAGGGGACTTACGATCCCGCCGAAGACAAATTGAGTACGAAGGGGGCACGGGAAATCAGAATCTCCCAGGAGGCAAGATTACAAGCATGGAAAACCATATTCGAGACCTGAGGAACGAGTCGTCACTTCTGTGACGAGATAGATCAGACGACATGATCGAAGTCGTCAGACGGGGAGCATGTCGTCCGATGATAGACAGGTTCTGAAGAGCTGCAATACGGTACCCTTAAAGTTGTCATCCTTACTTTTGTATTTTCTTTTACATAGTGTTGTCACTCCTGTGATGAGATAAACCAGATGACAAGACTGAAATCGTCGGACAGGGGGGCATGTCGTCTGATAATAGACACGTTCTGATGATAAATATTTCTCCAGTTTTATATACATACTTCTAATGTATTACTTTCATTTTTCTATAAACAATCATTAACTTAAGCATTGGAGGGTCGTTGGCTTCTAGCCAATGGCCGACGTCAGCGAATTCTTTTTTACACAGGTACAATCAACAATTGACGATGACATAATCCTAACATACACAGCCTTACGACACGTTAAAACACAATTGACGGGGGGCTTACAGATTTTTAGGGGAAGAAGTGGTGTTTTCATGTATGCTAAACATGAGTATAAGCTCCACAGATTCTCCGCAATGTTTTGGCCAAAACTACACAAATACACAACAGAAGCATGTGCTACAAACACATGACAACAGAAGCTCCAAAACAAAAAGAGACAATACGAACGACATCGACACAAATCACAAACACTCATGTCGACAGTATTGCTAAAAATACAAACGTAATGTTGTATTAAGTTTTTACAGGATATGGACCACGTTCACGCAACCCAACTCATCTTATTCAGTGACAGACGATGTTCCCTTTGCCGGCTGAAGTGCCGACATCGACCTAAAAAATGTTGCAAATTTCCGCCCCTTAGTCGTCAACACAATTTTGAAGTGTACCAAGATGCGAAGTGTACTTTAAAATTTTCGACAAGTTGATGCTTGATAGGTCGACATGTGTGTGATACGCCTCAACTTCTCGAAAGGGGGCAATTGTTGGTGCAAGAATTTGACAGCTTATTCTACATTCAAGAGGCTTGACAATGACAATTAATGACACATTCATTAGGTTTAATGCTACCTGATTATAACGGTTTTTGTGTGTATTATTATAGCCATTATTGTAATTAAAGCAAGAGTTACTCAAATAGCTGAATTATATTAATGACGACATCATGACGACTTTGAATGTCATCATAACGGTTGAAACCGTCAACAACGGACAAAAGACATTAATTATCATTCCTATAAGTAGTATCGAGCTCAATTGTAAGAGGGGACACCTCATTCAAAATGTATGAAACCCAATCAAAATTTACAAAGGGGTAAATTTTATTGATTTGACACTGTTTGACACTGTTTTGCATTGTTTGGACACTGTTTGGATACTGTTTTGCACTCTTCGACACTGTTTTGATGTAGATAATTTGTAAAATAAGGAAAGTAAGAAAGTTTGAACTTAATTTAGGTACTGTCCAAAAAGAAAAGTGGTACCTTAATTGTGGGACGGAGAGAGTAAGTGAGAGGGTTTTCTTCTTAAAAAATGACAAATAAGGTCGAAAAAGGTTTGAGGTCACTCTTTACTCTTTAGGGTACATTAATATCTTGAACCTACATGAAAATCTAGAATTGTAGAGACTAGAGGTCTTCCTTCGTATTCTTCCTTTGTTAATTTGTCAAAGTCCAAGCCCAATTGTGACTTTTAGTTCGACTTCTCAACTATCACTAGCCACCAAAAACCCAAAGAAAGGTAGATATATGCGGGGCCTAATTTGTTGAAAAAACCACTACGTAATTTACAAGTCATCGAGGAACCATGTCTGCTTTCTTTTTCATCAAATTAAGCCGCAATTCATTGAAAAATACAACTGAGCTCATATAAACACTTCATCAAATGACTTGGATCAGAGTTTGAAACGAGAATAAAGTGAAAATATATAGTTATGTAATTGTGTAAGAAAAATGTAAATGAATGTGAGACACACAAACATTCCAAAAGAGGAAATGAGAATTATTTTTGGGAACAATTTAAAATGAAAACCGAGAACTATTTTATGGGACGAAGGGAGTAATTATTAAAAATATGAAAAGATATATATTCCACAAAGAGGACTTAGGTCCCAAAAAACATGCAAAAAAAGAGTTCAAATTTTGACAAAGAACGCAATAATGCATATACAGAAAGAAAGAAACAACAGAGACCCCTAATAACCGCAACTCCCCCTTTACCAAATTTTCAAGCTCGAGTTTAGAACTCGGTTGAGTTACGACTGAGCTACTTTTTTACAACTCGGAGCTCACTCCGCCCCCAACTCCTCTTCCTAGTCGACGTCCTCGTGTTGGCCGGTAAGCGCCGCCAGCAAATACTTGGCCTTCTCCCTAGCCCGTTCGCTTCCTCTGTCCACCACCGCTTGCAACACCTCCACCGCATTTGCATCAACGGCTAACCCGTTAAACCTCAAGCTCCCCTGCCCCAGCGTGTAGAGAGCCGCCACGCAATTCTCTCGAGTTGACTCGTCCAACGCCCCGCCGTCCCTCAGCAACCCCACCAGCACCTCCACCGCGTGAGCATCCAGCAAAGCCGTTTTCCCCTCCGCGCACAACGCCAAATTACACACCACCAGCACCACTTTCCCTGCCAAATGGCCGCCTTCCAGCATCCCGACCAGCGCACTGGCGGCTCCGAGCTTGATCAGCTTCGATCGATTGCTCTGGACTAAGGTTAAATGGTAGAGAGCTAGCGCCGAGTCGAGGCGAGTTTGCTCGGTCCCGGTCCGAAGCGCGTGCAGGAGCGGCTGCAACGCGCCTAATACACCGAGAGCGCTCTTATTGTCGTCTTCAAGGGCGAGGCTGAATATCGCCCCGGCGGCGTGCTCCCTGGACTCCTCGAACCCGCCCTTGAGAACGTCAATCAAAAGAGGGAGAATCCCTGCTCGAACGATCTTCAGCTTGTTGACTTTTGCAAGCGAGAGGTTGACCAAAGCGGCGTTGGCGTTCGCCTGAATTCCGGCGTACTTGGACACTAACAGCGGCTTCAGCCCCGATAACAGCCGGGAAGTGCAAAGCGAAACCCTAGCTTCTTCATTCGTCCTTGTCGTCCTTCTGAGCTCAATCACGGCTTGTTCCTGGTCAAATGAATCCAAATTCTCGAACCGTACGACATAGTATTCATCTGGCGACGACGTTGACGACGAGTTGGAAGCAGAGGACGGAGCTTCCTCCGAAATTATATCCGACGAGTTCGACTGGGACGTCGCGGCGGATAAAATCGCCGCCGGCTGGTCCGTAAACGGCACTAAAGACGGCGAGGTACAGCCAATCACAGACTCTTCGGAACTGGAAGAATAGTAGCTGTTGTGGAGACTATGCCTCCTCGGAGTCAGCTCCGTAACGGCGTGAGAAAGACGCAGCGGAGGATGATCGGCAACAGCTATGAGCAGTTCCTTTTCCGAAACGGCGAATCTAGAATCGTCTTGAACACGGCTCGATTCACTGGTCATCATCATCGCTGTCCGAACGGTTGACTCAACAGCGTAATAATCCGGCTGTTTAGGTTTGCCGGCGCCGGACCTGTCGCACCAGTTCAGAATCGTCTCCCTGAGAGCGAGATTGGGAATCACGGCGGAAAAATCAGGGGTCCGGCCGTCGGGGACCTGGGGTTTGAAACCTAAATCCTTGCAAACCTGAACGGTTGTGCGCTCGAAGGTGTGGCCGGAGGAAACGACGACCGGGTCAAACATCAATCGGCCCAAAACTGGGCAGAGAAATTCCCTGGGCGGGTCTTTCTGCAGATCGTAATTGGATGAAGGTGTTCTTTGGATGAAGAATTTCCACCGGTGTTGCTTTCCGTTTCCACCCATTTTTTTTGCTAGGATCTTAGTGAAGTGGGTGACAGACGGTAAAGAAGATTAATTATTAAGGTCGGGGATGGGGATGATAAATTGAGCTGATCAGCGTTGATTGGAATAGATCTACAGAGTTGTTGAAACTAACCCCGGGTAAAAAGGTAAGGTAAATTATCGTACATCCCGCGAAATTAATTACTGCAATTACTATTTGTGGGGACATCCATTCATGATGTTGAGCTTTTCTTTATTTTGACTGGAGAGTTTAAGACGGTAAAAAATGCAAACCACCAAAAAAAAAAATGCAAACCACGAAAAAACTAAAAGTAGCTCATTTAAATGAGTAAAATATGAATAAAAAAATTATTTGTACTCGCATTTATACACACCTTTATATCCACCATGTTTATGCAAGATTTTTTGTTTGTGAGTTCCGTTCACAGGGACTTAATTGATTATTTGTTAAAATAAGAGTGTGTTGCCAATTTTCGGGTCGAGGGTTTAATGAAACATTATTTATGCAGGGGCAGATCCAGGGGAGTCATCTTGGAAGACGAAAATATTTTTAGGGGTTTAAATATACTTTTTGGGAGAGCAAAAATTATTTTTCGTATATATATACAATACAAAAAAAATTGTTGGGGGGGGGTGGTAGACCCCTGGGCCTCTACTACGGTACGCCCCTGTTTATGATTTTGAATTAGGTTATATGCTACACTCTTCATCCCGAAAAGGTTGGCAAATTTCTTTTTTTGGATGTCCCAAAAAGATTTGACATTTCCATTTAAGTACGAAATATGTGAGTAAAATTAATTCTCTCTTCTCTACACAAATTTCAACCACATAGTTTTTACTTTATTAATCCACGTGAAAGTTAACTTTGGCCAACCTTTTTGGGACGGAGGGAGTACAATTTATGTTATATACTCTGTACTAGTTTTTGAACGCGCGTTCGTGTAAATGTCCAACACTATTGCAGACATATCAATTTATGAGGATAGTATGGATGAAAACATGAGTAATATGATTAAACTATTTCAACATAGAAAAGGAACATATTTCTAGGGAAAGTAAATATCAATGATACCACGATGTCTCTTTTTCTAGCCAAATTAGTTAATACAACCATGGTATGTGTCAAATAAAAAATGGGATTATGTATTCTTGTCAATCTTCTTCGTAGGGGCGAAAGTGATTCATATGAATCCAGCTTTGTACGTTCGCTCCTTACTTTTGTTCGATTATAAAAAAAAAAAATAAAGAAGCACTTGGATGGTGATCTATAGCATCATTCAAGTAAGTATGGAGTTTTTTTCGAATTAATGTTAATTAATTAATTAATTACGAAAATAATGCTGGTAAAAAAATATTTACCGATCTACTGCTGGGTTTAACCATAGTCAGAGAAAGTCGCCCAACCGTTAGGCGACTTTCCCCTTCCATATGAACGCAAACCAACAGCTACTGCTAGCCACGCACGATCGTGCCTGCACGGGTAGGCACGATCGTGCCTAATTCCGAAAACATAATTTCATCAGTTTTTTTGCCCCATTTCAACCCAGACTCATCTTTTTGCTATAAATAAGGTCTCCCTTCTCCTGTTTAAGTGTTACGAGCGAGATACAACACATTATAAAACATACAACATACCTGTTCACAAACACACACATAAACACATACAACTCACCGGTAAAACACAGTACAATCATCAAACATTCATAACAATTAATCATCTAATATTCATACTCGAACACATAAATACAACATACAAGAGAAAATACGTAAAATGTTGTAAATTGTTCCCACTGGACCCCCCATCGTGTCTTGATGATCTCTTCGCACATGTGGCCCTGTTATGGCCGGTTTGGTGGCATTTTCCACATCTAACCGTTCCTCGGGGACCTTCATCCATCTCATTCTTAATACGTGTCGACTGAGGTCTTCCTTTAGCCCGAAGCATGGATGGATCGTGCACGATTTCAGGTCTATTGTAAGTAGGTCAATAATCACGATCAGGAATGGGTTTGAAGACTCTATGATATGTGGCCACGTATTGGTCAGATGAGAAAAACTTATCAACAAATGGAGCATAAGACAAGCTACGTTGTCTACACACGGTTAACACATGGGAGCATGGAATCTTATATATCTCCATCTTTTTACAAGTGCAAGTTTTCCGTTTCAGATGGACAGTTTGTTTTCTCCCACCCTTCCCCAACGTTCGGCCACCACAACCGATTTCCACTTGAAATAACCCTCGGCCTAAATCAAATGGAGTAACTATGTGATGCTTGGCCTTCTCTCTATTCTTATCAATTAAATCTGTGATGTATGGGGAGTACTCGTGGCCTTCTGTCACTCTCATTTTACTGGTTTCACGCCTATTAACAAAATAAGCATTAACCCGGTAAAAGGAAACCTGGACCAAAGCGGTGATGGGCAAATATCTAGCATTTTTCATCACGCTATTGAAAACCTCTGCCAGATTAGAAGTGATGGTTCTGTATCTGTACCCGCCATCGTGGTGCAATGACCATATTTCCGGGGGAATGTTCCCCAGAAATTGTCGTGCCTCCAAACTCATTTCACCTATCTTCTTGAACCCACCATCAAACTTCTTTTTCTGATGTTGCCGTGCGGTCCAGACAAAAAGATTTTTTAGATGAATGTCTTTGAAATGAGTGTGCACATTCGATGCAAGATGGCGGATACATAGCCTATGATGCGCATAAGGCTCCTCCCAAGTACTGCCCACCTCATTCATTGCCCTGACAATACCTCCATGCCGATCAGAAATGACACACAACTCCCGATTAGTGACAAACTGCCTAATACATGCCATACACCATGGCCAACTATCCCCATTCTCAGATTCAACAACTGCAAAAGCCACTGGAAATATTTGGTTGTTCGCATCACAACCCATGACCACGAGCAGTGTACCCTTGTACTTTCCATACAAGTGTGTGCCATCAATAGTATGTACGGGTCGACAATGCTTAAAACCATGTATTGATGGCTTGAATGCCCAAAAAACTCTTTGAAACTGCATATAACCTGTGGGAGTATTAGGGGGTGGGTACCACTGCACAATAGTTCCAGGATTTGAATGTTGGAGCGCTGTCATGAAACGGGGCAATTCAGAATATGACTTCTCCTAACCGCCAAATATTTCTGCTATGGCCTTTTGCTTCCCCATCCATATTCTCCGGTATGATACCGTATACCCATACTTGTCCTTCAGCATCTCAATGATAGTATGCACTTTAAGGGAAGGATCAGTGCGAACAATGTCAATCACATCTTTACAGATGAAATCTGAAGTCAAAGCCACGTGATCGGTAGTGCCGGTGTTCCCAACACACGTAGCAGAATGAGGTCCAGGATAACGCACAATTGTGAAGGTGTCAAGGTTGCCTTTGTTCTTTGTGGCGCATATTCTCCAGGGGCAATTACATTCTTTCTTCCTTTTGCATTGTGCCACCCATTTGTGTTTATCGGACTCTATCACCCGAAAAAATTGGTTCCGTTTGATAGAATACAAGCTCACCATATTGATGACCTGTTCTTTGTTGTCAAACTGTTGACCGACCTCAAACTCACCTTTGGGGGTAAACCTTTTCTCACCTGATCCACTCAGCCACGCATCAGTAAAGCCTTCAGGGAGATCATACATTCTAGTAAAGTGGGTAGACGGGGTAGTTGCCGTGACCGTATTACCATCATCTTCATCAGATTCTGTCATATCTTCACCATTGATGTTGTCGTCAGCATCATCATCACTTTCCTGCCCATCCACAAATGATGCACCGTTGTGCAAATACCTACCATCTTCCTGTATAACCATGTCCAGTACAGGAGCATTTGAGGAGTTCCCAGCATTCACACCTGCATTGACATAATGCCTAGATACAACATCATTTGATGTTGATGGAGTACGATAAGCGTCACATATGGATTCCTCAATGTATATCTCAAGCATTGACATGTCCTCCATCTGAACTACACCCCACATATTTGTTATAACTAGCTCATCAGTGAGGGGCATAAGCATGTACTTTCCCCCGTTCATGGGAAATTTCATTTTCAAACGCAAAGAACGGCTAGGATGAATCATTGTGGCTGTATGTATTTTTTGAAGGATCTCGAGCATGCAAGCACCACGACAAACCATGACAAATGTTGTTGTACCACCTTCATGGCATATTTGACCAGCATCCTCATAATAGTTCCCTCTCTAATGACACACGATTGGGAAGCTTGAGAAATCCATATTCTAATAACAATTCAAATATATCAAAAAGTCAAGATTCACAAACAACTCACATTTCAATATGAAAATACCCAAATTTTGATATCTACATTCAAGTCTACATTTCAATACCCAAATTTAGCTACATTCAAATCTACCCAAATGCCCAAATGTCAAAATACACTTTAAAATTTACTATCAATTTCAAATCAAATTTCAACATTTCATAATCTAAAAATTCGAAAATTTTAACATTCAAAACCCTAAGTTAAAAATGAGATGAAATGGAGTTTGATTTACCTACAAGAAAGAAGAAAGAGTGTTGAAGATGAAGATGGAGGTTTGCCGGAGTGGGGTCGCCGGATATGGAAGTTCGCCGGAGTTGGAAATGGCTCGGTCGTCGTTCGTCCTTCGTCCTTCGTAGCTGCTGCTTGGGGGATTTGGGGATTGGGTTTCGTTCGTAGTGTTATGTTTTGTGGCTGGTCGCTGTTTTTACTTAATGGAAAGTCGCCCAACGGTCGGGCGACTTATAAGTCGCCAAACCGTTTGGCGACTTATAAGTCGCCCAACCGTTGGGCGACTTACCCCCGACCACGGTTAACCCAGCAGTATATTGGTAAATACTTTTAACCCAACCCTATTTTCATAATTAATTAATTAATTAACATTAATTCGAAAAAAAAAACTCTACATATTGCACCAATTTATAATGTTTTTAACTTGTCTATGATTCTGTCATATTTAATCAACAAGAAATAAAGTCTAGAGTTTATTTTAGTGATTATTCCTTAACGTCCATTTGGCAAAAAATGGAACTTTTGAGCCTCCAACCCAAGGCAACACACATTTCTAATTTCTCAGTTTCACTCCGACACACAGTAATTTGAATCATAAAAATCAAATTAATTATAAGCGCTGGTTAGTATCTCAAATGCCTAACACTGTATTACCAAAAGACCTACTTTTATATAAAAAGATGTCACACAGAAAGACCGACATAAACGAAACATGGTGTTTTCGTCCCTCTAATCATTGATCTCTCATATGTTTTTACTTGATTTAAGAAGAGTTTCTTTTCAAAGAAGATACCACACAGATTATTTTTATTTAACTTAAAATTCAACATATTTATCTTTAGCACCTATGCGGCTATGCACAAGCAGCTTGATTATTTAAAAAAATTGCATTGCTAAGTTACTCTTATTTATTTGTTCTAAAATATACCGTATCGCATTAGTTGCAACATTGGAATACATACACTATTCATGTACTTTACTTTGACTACATTTTATTTATCAATGTATGTGAATTATTATTTTTTGAAAAATATTGTTAAATTCGTCTCATTACTAATTAAGTTTTATAATTTGATTTTTATTTTATTTTTAATATTACGGAATTAAATATAATGATGGTAAAAGTTGTGCGTTGGCAAACATGTGAGCCCCTAAAGGTGTGCATTGTGAAGTCCATGATCTTTTAGCCAAAATTACCCAAAATTATTTTCATTGATTGTTTAGCTTCTCCCCAATACCAGTTGTTTATACAATGTTTTTCAATAAGAGTTTGTTCTTCATTGTGTTCAAGACAAATATGTCCACATAATTGATGAACTAGTGTTGTTCGGCTAGTTCGTACCATATCCGCCCTACATTTTTTCCATATCATTTTGGTACAAATGTAATAAAAACTTTATTTCTGTTCACTGATGACGGTATTGTTAATTTGTTATTACTTATGACGGTTATGAGTTTAAGAAAAAACACTTTCACTTTTGTCTACATACATGCATCAATTTAGGAAATGAAAAAAAACGAGATGTCCCAAAATTGAATGTGTGAAATTATTTGAGACTTCTGAAGATATGTTTTCTTTTGTATATGACAGTAGAAAGCTCATCCATCACAAAATCTTTTGGGAATTCACCATGATGAATACTATGTGCGAATTTTCTTTTTCGAGTGGCAAGAACAAATTGTGTTATCAAAGAGATTTTGAATGTGTAGAATAAATTTCTATATTTGCAAGTAGATCTTAGATTGTATATTCTGTGTAAATTTTTATGTGACATGTATACTAGGCTATAGCAGCATTGGTGCCGGATAAATGGTTGGCAGGTTCCCAAATCTGCATGGAAGAGTTTGAAAATAAATATGTTTAGGGTGTCTTTGGGAGTTGGGTTTTGGAAGTGATGAACGGTTAGCAACACAAGAGGGGGTGAATTGTGTGTGTGTGGAACCGTGACAGTTTTTCGCACAGTTCTAGTGTGGGGTTCAGGGAATTGCGAAATAGTAAAGTGCACAAGGATTTAATGAGGAAAAGTCCCTTGGCTCAAAGGGATTAAAAAACCTCGACCTCCCTCGGAGGAATTTTAAACAACTTCACTAAAAAGCCTTTTGTGGTTAAATGGTAAATTTTCCTAATCTACCCTTGAGCCACCCCAACTCTATCCTCTCTAGGAAGAGTTATGCATCTCTACCTTGCGGGTAGAGAGCCCCTCAACTTTACAACAAAGCACTCACACACACGACCCCAACCCGAGGAAGCTACATTTTAGCTTTTCCTCAAAATCTAGTTACAAGATAAAGAAGGGAAAGAAACTATATCTAGAACTTCGTGAGTCGGTCAAGGTGCCTTGGTCTTGATGATTTTATAAGTATTTCTCTCTTGTAACTGCTCGGTCAAGCACACACCTTGCTTTTGATTCTTCGACTATATATATGGGCTAGGAGATGTCCGTTGATCCTTCTTTCCTTTAGAAGCTTGGTGGACTTGCCTTGATAATTTTTGAATTTCTTTCCTTCGAGTAGCTTCACTTTATTCGTTCAATCATGAATAAATTGATTCATGATTTACGAGCCATCATATAAAGAAATATAGATTTACTTATCATGTAGGTATGCAACGAACATTAAGTAGTAATAAAATATTCATGCAATCAAGCTACAATAATATTTCATTAGAAAAGCTTCGGTCAACATTTATTAATATGGTAATCAAATTAAGATAGCCTACTATTATATATAGGCATGCATCGTCCCAATATTACTAGCAAGTCATGCTACAATAATATCCTTACCAAAAGAGTTTTCAGTTGACCTTTATGGAAAGATAGCTTGATCTCTCTACATATAAAACATGTCACGGTCAATCACCATAATAGTGACAAAGTGTATTTTTGATAATTTTGATAATTTTAAGTACACTTTGTTTCGCGCTCGGTAATCCGATTAGGGTATTTTTCTGTTTGTTAAAAACCACATATTTTGTCGAGATGTATGCAATGACGTATTTTTTTTAATTAAAAAACTACAATTTTTTGTTGCGGTTGTAGTTATAACTGTAGCAAAAAGTGTATTTTTTTTATAAAACTCTAAAAAACAGTTTTTTGTTACGGTTCTGACATGACCGCAACAAAAAGTGCAAATCGAACACCTATTTGTTGCGGTTCTATTTCAACCGCAGCTAAAAGTCCCCAAAACATACTTATTTGCTGTTTTGGCTTTACCGCACCAAATAGGGAGCATAAAATAACAAAAATTCTAGCAGTGTAGTATAAATATTTTAGAGAAAATAAAAGTTACTAATTTTGTCAAAAATATGATTTATTTATGAAACATATAATCTTTTTTTTTGGGTAAAGAAATATAATTTAAAAAGTAGAGATTGCTCAAAATAGGAGCAAAAACGTTTTGAAATTCCAAAATAAGAGTATCATATTTTTTAGGGAAAGTTCCCGAAATAGGACTAAAACAGTTTCCAAATCCCAAAATAGGATTGTCATGTTTTTTATTCTCAAAATAGGACTAATTACTGCCATGTTTAGAAAATAACGTCATGTTTGAAGTCTGGTACTGCCAAACATGACAGTAACTAGTCCTATTTTGGGAATAAAAACACGACAGTCCTATTTTGGAATTTTCAAACTGTTTTAGTCTTATTTCGGCTAATATCTCTATTTTTTATTCTTTGAATAGGAGTAATCTGTCAAGTTTAAAAAAATGTCATGTTTTAAACCTTAGTAATACCAAACTTGGCAAAAATTTATTTCTGTTAGAGGTATAAAAATCATGAGCTATTTTAGAATTTTAATTTTTTTTTACTCCTCAGGAATTCATCCTTTAAAAAGTCAAAATCAATTTGAAACGTAACAAATCGTTTCTACTTTTTATTTATTTTAATAAAGTGCTTAAATTTACCTTGAGCACTTCCAGAAACCATTAATATTAACTTATTTAAAAAAGCAGGCACCCAAAAAGGCAAAAGACCCTATTTTCTTCCTACTACACACGATCACAGTCACAGATGTCCAAGAGCAAGCGTTTGGAAAAGGGAAAGCAAGCGTAGGGCAACGGCTTTACCGGCATCACTTCGGTCAGTGGTTAATCAAGCTTTTATCTGTGAATCAGCGTTTGTTTTGTTGCTCTTCTACTTATGAGTGACAAAAACTTAGCCAACACAAGACAACCATCTGGAGAAGTTGATTTTGGCGGAGTAGGAGATTTTGAAGCTAAAAATGTACAAATTCTTTCAGAGGATAATGATGCTTCCAATAAACAGATTAAGTGTTCAATTGATAGGCTTAGTGCATTGCCAGATTGCTTAGTTATTCACATCCTTTCTTTTCTGGATTTGAAGAAAGCTGCTATTACGAGTGTTTTGGGTAAAAGATGGAGATAGCTTTGGGCAGAGTTGCCCAAGCTTGAGTTCGATTTCTGGGGGAGCAGGTATGAGGAAACTAAGAAAATAAGTGTCTTTGTGGCTTGGGTTCATAAGACCCTTGCTACTCGTCATGGGAAGTATCTGGAGAAGTTGACAGTTAGATTTCCCTACCACAAATGTTTTTCTTCCGATGTTGATAACTGGCTTGAGTTTGCTTCAAAAAACAAGGTGAAAGAAATTGATTTTAACCTAATCACCCCGGAAGATTTCTATACTCTTTGTGACAGGATGTATTCATACCCTTCCTTGACATCATTGTCGTTGAGTGGATGCATTTTGAATCCTGAAAGAAAAATTGAGTGGCAGTCTTTGACTTCATTAGAGATTTCAAATATGGATCTGCCTCAGAGTGTGGTTGAAAAAGTACTATCATGTTGTTCAGTTTTGAATAGCTTGAATCTGCGGACTTGTTGGGGATTTACTTGTTTGGATATAAACTCCCCAAATCTTTGTAAGCTTCGAGTGCATGACTCCAACAAAGATGAAAGTGAAAATTTCCTTGAGATCTCGGCACCCTATCTAAAATCTTTGGTTCTTTCGTTGTATCCGATAGAAAGAAAGTTGAAGCTCACTAACCTTTCATCTCTTGTTAGTGCTCATTTTAGATTCGCTGGATCTACTTGGGATCCAATGTATGAGGATGTCCTCAGTAACACGAAAGAAATCTTTGAAAACATTCAACATGTCAAGGAGCTTGAGCTTGGTTATGAGCTCCTAGGGGTATGCATTGTGAAATCCATGATCTTTTAGCCAAATTCCCAAAAATTATCTGAATTGATTATTTAACTTCTCCCCTGTACCAGTATTTGTTTATAAATGTTTTTCAATAAGGATGGGGTTATTGGAATTTATTTGTCAAATGATTTTTCAACTATGTCATACAAGAGTTGGTTGTTTATTGTGTACAAGACAGATGTGTCCATGGAATTGCTGAACTAGTGTCCTTCAGCTAGTTAGTATCACATCTGCCCTAAAAAAATATTTCAAGTCATTTTGGAACAAATGTAAAAAAACTTTATATTGGTTCACGGTTTAGGATTTTGTTACTCCATTAGTTATGAGTAAGAAAAAACAATTTCACTTTTGTCTACATGCTAGCATCATTTTAGGAAATGAAAAAAACGGGGTGTCCCAAAATTGAAAGTGCGACATTATTTTGTGTATGGCAGTACAAAACTTATCCATAACAGAATCTCTTATGAATTTCACCATGGCGAATACTATGTGAGAGTTTACTTTCTTGAGTGTAAAGAACAAATCATGTTAGCAAAGTGATTTGTTATGTGGCATAAATGTGTATATTTGCAAGCAGATCTTACATTGTATATTCTGTATATATTTTTCTGTGGCATGTATACTAGGCTATAGCAGCATTGGCGCTGGATGCTAGTTGGCAGCTTCCCAAATCCACTCGAAAGAGTTTGAAAATAAATATGTTTATGAATGGTGAGGATTATGTTTCTGCCATTGTAAGTCTGCTTGAATCCTCTCCTGATCTGGTGGCATTGGTCATAGATTGCGATGATCCATTTGGGGTAAGTATGCATGTTTGGGATGAATAATTATTCATTCAGTTTCATTTTATGTGGTTAACACATGCAGTATTCTTTTGTAACATTTTAATATACTACCAGTTACTCTTTATCAGCATGTTGTTTTCTTATGGATCTTTGCTTAACTCAATTTTCTTAACTCTTGTTTAGTCCAAAAAATGGGGTGGGGGTGGGGGTGGAGTAGGTTTATAAAATATCATACTTGATTCTCGAGTCAGGATGAAGTAGTGTTTAGAAATAAATGTGAAAATCTCATATATATATATATAGTACTGTAATTGAATATATATGGGTCTAGATATATAAAGATAATAGTGTACACCAATTTTGTTTTGAAAATAAAGGTTGAAAGAAACTACTCCCTCCATCCCAAAATGATTTGCAAAGTCATACTCCGTATTTTCTTGGTCAATATAGTTTCAGTTTATCTACTTATTTATTATATTTGGATCTTGTAACCTTAATAAGTTCAGTGTTCTAACCAGTGCTAGCTAGCCATTGAGCGAGTAACATATTGGGGCAGGGGTATATCTTCTATGCGGGGTCTTTGGAAAAATACAAGTGGCTAATGGAAGTGCCTATGCTTGGAATTTTAGAGTACAAGCTTCAATGGGACAAAAGAGAGTGACACAAATTAATAAAAAGTGGTTTGTGTGGTTGATATTGAATTGATAAAGTAAGAATAAAGTAAGAATGATTTAGAGCCACACAAACTTTACCAAATTTGGTATGAGACAATCTTAGTGGGACAGACCGATAAGGTAAAATGAGACAATCATAGCGGGATGGAGGTAGTATCATTTAACTACGATATTTGTCAAGATCAATCCAAAATTTGAATATTTGTTGTCTTTGTAGGTGGAGGAGGATAGTTGGGAACCACCTGCAAGGGGTGATTTAGGGTGTGACTTATTGCACCTGAAGACGGTTGAGTTGATTGGCTCGGCAGATGCAGTTCTTGGCGGTGAACCATTGCTTACATTGGCACGAGTCATTCTCAAGAGGGCAACAACCTTGGAAAAGATGTCAATTTTGGTAACTACTGAAACTATAGATGAATTTGTCAAGATATGTCAAACCTTGCTCACTTACCCGAGATCCTCACCAAACGCAGCCATCCACTTCCTTTAGAGCATTGCTTTTTTCTTTTGTTTTGACATTCTTCCGATCTTTATCAAATGTCCAATATAGCGTATATGTATTTAGACACGAATTTATATCATGTCTTTCATACATCAACTTGGATGTGCCCCTTGGTATATGCAGGGGACCCACGATTTCAAGTCAACGACAGTGAATTATTTTTTGTTGGTGAATTTATTTTCGCTAGTGCATTGAGGCAAATTTTTTCACTAGTGTAGAGCTCCGCTGTCATTTTTTATTTAAAAACAAATCTATTATTACATACATGATGACATTTAAATTTAGGAAAAATTGATTGTAATAATCCCAACTATCGGCGGTCCGCTTATAATAATTCCAACTATCGATTATCTCAGAAGAATCTCAACTTTAGTGATCTTCCGCCAATAATGGTCCGACATGATCGGCTATAAATAAATTCTTATAGTTTTTAAAGTGAATGACAAGAGATATAACAAGTAATCCCTATAAATAATTCAATTTTTAATTTTTACGTTTTATTTCTATTTAAAATTCACTTTTTATAGCAGGTCATATCTGGTCATGGACCATTATTGGCGGAAGGTCACTAAAGTTGGGATTATTCTAAGATAATCAATAGTTGGGATTATTATAAGCGGACCGTCAATAGTTGGGATTATTACAATCAATTTTTCCTTAAATTTATTACATTTTAAGTTTTGACAATTGAAGCATAACTTTAATTTATAATTGAAGTGACCTACAAAAAAGTATTGATACAATAAAGTGTATCAACTAGTAAATCAAAGGAAAATTATTTAAACATAGAAAAATGATACTAGTACCATAAATATATGATATTTTATGAAATTATTTGAAGATAGAGTTTAAAAGGAACACATTTACTAATACTTTTTAAATAACTTCTGTCTTGTTTAACCACTTATTTCTTATCGAAATAAATAATTGATTTTAAATTGCAATAAATGGTGTTCGAGAGCCAAAATGAGTTTTCCTAATATTACAATAGTATGTATCCGATTATTTATTTTAGAATAATATCATATTGCTAATTCATATAGATGATGCACATTATATTTGTATTAATCCTAAAATAAGTTAAAGTTTATTATCTGTGATATAAATTATTTTTAGAAAGTAAGAAGTAAATGAATTGTGTAATTTAATGTCAACAAACATTTATATTTTGGATTCACTTTACATAATAAAAAAACTGTTCAATATCGTTTGATATTTTACAAAATCGAGTACTAATTATCTAGTAAAGATAATTAAACTTTACAAAACTATGAATATTATATTAAGTATCCTAAATCTTAATGATAAGTTGTTCTACTATTTATTTCCTTAAGTTATGATAAATTATTTTAGACGTTTCCTCTTTTAAATCTCCGATTAAGTAGTTCTTCTGTCTCATTTTGTAAGATATATACCCTTTCCTTTTGGGTTGTCTCAAAAATATCATCACATTTCTAATTTGGACTCCACTAACTTTTTAATTTCTAGTTTAACCTCCTAATCAAGTCCAAATTAAACCTGCCCATTAGTCAGGTTTGAAACACGGCTCATACCCCGTTTAAAATCGCTAGACCGCTAAACCCATCTAGCCCTCTATGAGAAAAGGTTGTACTAGGGGATTGAACCGTAATCTACAATAATGTATTCCTCACCCGTACTTGACTCTATTTTTTTGTAGCTATGTGTTGTTAGTAGCGGTGAATAATGTCTTGTGATCGATTGGTTATCAAATCAGGATTACGACAGGAAATTAGGGTACAGACTGAGTTTGGGATGGTAAATTAAGGTTCCAGAGCGGGATTGAAATCGAAAATTAAAGTTACGGACCGTGGTTGGAAATTAAAATTTTGTACAAGAATTGAGACCGGAATCGTGGTTCAGTTTTTAATGCTTATGACTTATGAGATATGGCATGATTAACTATTCCTTCACCAATAAGCTCTATTCTACAATGAGAATAGAGTCTTATTACTTATGTACACAAAACCAACAACCCTAAACATACAATGTGAATTAAGTTATATAAGTATGAAGTTTTGTAACTTTTGTGGCATTGAACATGATTTTAAAATGAGGTGTAACCGCTGATGGAGTATTAAGTCCTAGAGAGAAGTGAGAGCTAGAGAGAGAAGTGCAGTAAATGCTTTGTATTAATGATTTGTGAACCCCCTACAACTACTCTCAAGGGGAGTATTTATAGAGGAAATTAGGGCTGAGCTCCCAAGTCTTGGGCTTGGGAGGCCCATTTACAATTGGGCCACTATTGGGCTGAGTACAAGATGTGTAGAAATGACAAGTACAAAATTCGGTTCTGGGAACCTTTTGTGGCCGACGCAGCCATGGCGGACGGAGCCCCGGCCGACGGGGATACCTGGTTCTCCTGGCTTCCGGACCATGTCCTGAGTTGATATCTTTCTGGCCGATGGGGGGCCATCTGGCCGACGGAGGCCCCACTGGGTGACAGCTGTGTCTCTTATTCTTCTGAGTATGTGGGTCCTGGGGTTCAGGCCCATATACTCCATCAGGAGTCCCCCACTCTCTGAGCTGAGATGTAGATGAAGTTAGGGAGAGTAGATTCCATGTTTTTGACGTATCCTGGCCGTTGTGGGACCGCTATGGGGTTTTCCCCGTTCTGGCCATCATGGGCACCACTTGCTCTGGTTCTTTGTCTTTGGCCATTACGGGCACTCTACGTTCTGGCCGTTGTATGGCCTTCACTGTGGACGAAGAGGGCTGATGTTCCTTTGATGGGGTAAGATTGTTTGAGGACAATGAGTGTCCTGCCTCAGTGGCCGATATGAGCTCTTGATTTGAATAGCTGATGCGGGTACTATCGTTTTTGGTCATCAACGGTTGCCTTTGATGGATTGACCGAGGAGGCCTCACGATTGTTCTGTGCTTAAGGCCGGAGCGGTGGTATCCGTAGCTTGGTGTCCATGCTTTGAGGACGATAGCGACACTGATCCGTAGTAGTGCGTATCCTGGTCTCATGGACGATGGTGATCTGAGGGCGTTGGGTTCCTGTTTTAATTTCTTGGCCGAGAGTGGAGTATGTGATCTGAAGGTCATTGAGTGGCCTGTGATCTGAGGTGTTGCATCTTTAGAGAGAATTCTTTGTTTGCTGACTTTGCTGTGGCCAAAGGTGCACCACAAGGTCATGGACGTTGTGGTGCATATATGATCTGATGTTGTAGTTGTGGACTTAGTATATTTTTGGATTTCTTTGATTTTGTCCTGTTGTATTCCAGAGGCCGGTGTAGTCCCCTAGTCCCCCACTACTTCAGGCCGAAGAGTGAGCGAGGGGTGAAGGAGTAAGGCGTAACCCTAGGCCGAAGCGGGATTCTTGTATTCCCCTGAATTCAATCCCTTGGCGATTTCCTGACCAAGGTAACCCTGTGGGAGAACCCTTGGACGCAGGTCGCTTCATCAGGGTGTATACGAGGCCGATGGCTGTGGAATTGTTTTTTGCTTTGTCGTTGTGGCCGTTGAAGGGGCCATGTTATTGGTATTCTATTTGGGACGGTATGGGCACACTTTGTGGTGTGACCTACCGTTTTGAAATCATTTTTGCGTTGAGGCCGATGTAGGTGTGCTTTCTTAGTGTGGCCGTGGAGTGGTTGGCCGTTATGGACACTGATTACTGTCACGTTGGCGATGGGCTGGTACTGATGGAAGTGGGCCTGACCCGCCTTTTGAACCGGTGCCAGCCCAATGAACCTTGGGGGTGGTGGCCGTTCATGTGGCCAACGGATGTGTGCCACGTGTAGTGACAGTTGGGGGGAGGTCTATAAATACCCCCCTCCCTCCGAAGAAGCTCCCCATTGCATTCATGAGATAACGAAGTGCTGCCCAATTCTAGAGAGATAAAGGTTGTTCGAGTGTTCTTCAAAACTTCAAACATTCAAAGGTCAGTTCATCACACTTTCCTCCGATTTCTTGCATACTTTGCTTTCCTAGGGCCTTGATCTAGTGTTAGTAAAAAATCACCCTTAGATCCAAATTAATCCCCTCTAGGCTTTTAGGTAGTCGTTATGATGAAACCTTTGGACGATGAGTGCTACCTATATGACGATGAGGCCTCCGTTAAGTCCCTTGACTACCAGGTAGTAGAGGAGTGTTGCGAGGAGATAGAGGACCTGAGCTCCTTCAAGTCAGGGGAGCGGGAGGACAGTGAGGGTGAAGACAAAGAGGCCGCCTCGTCGTCTGAAGGTGAGGACGTAGTGGTCTCCCGCGTCGTGGATGGAGCATCTACCTCAACTACGATTCCCTGCCCGAAGCCGGTTTCTGCCGTTAAGGGGACCGCCCCGATGAGAAGGTGCCGGCCGAAGAAGGGTCCAGGTTATTCCTACCTGGACCTTACGAAGATCTACCTGATCAAGCCGGAGAGCAGCACGGCTGATTACTTGGTGGCCCAGATGTATGTGGGGTCGTATGGAAGGGTTAGGGCCCCTAAGCCGACAGACCACGTGCTGAATCCACCTCCGGGGTACTTTGGAGTATACCCTATGAGCTTTGCCAAGGGGCTTAGGTTTCCCTTCCATCCGTTCATCACGGAGTACTTGGACATGGTGGGTCTCCCTCCGGCCTTGTTGACTCCGAACAGCTATTCACTCATCGTCGGCTTCCTCCTTCGCTGTGATGAGTTGGACTTGTTGGAAGTATGCCCTAGGACAATCATACTTTATGATTTATCAATGAATATTTAATGCTCATTAATTAATAAAGTCACAAACTCATTTTATGTTAATTATTATTGTGAGTTTTCTTTATTAATATTTAGTCCCTGAATATTATGTTTAGTAGCTAATTAAGTACGTGACTTAATTTTGGAATGCTACACTTTAAAATAAGCATAATATTCTAATTGTCCATGGTCTAATATTATTAATCTGGGACATTAATAATTAATAAGACCATTATGTGGATTAACTGATGACTATATTCCACTAGTCATGGGTATAGAGATATCAAGTTAATAACATAGATGCTTGTTAGTGAACAAGTTCATTGGACAGACCCAACTTGAGGAAACTGCTAGGTTATATGTCATCAGTGTTGTCCTCAATAATGATGAGGTGCTATATTCTTATACTTGAGATAATCATGGTTACTTGCATGCGAATTAATATGTATTAACACCATTAAATATTATTTTTAAATGGGTAATTATAAAGGTGGTGATTGTACATATTATGAACCATGTAGTGGTATGTGAATTA